AGGACGAGGCAAGTTCAAAACCAACCCTGACTATTGACCACACCCTGTCTCAGACCCATAACAAGTCATAGATTGTGTCACACACCTGTTCTTCCAGCACTCAGGAGGCTGAGGCAGGAGGATTGTAGCAAGTGCAAGGCCAAATCAGGCTACATGGTGAGTTCAAGGCCAGCGTACATAGTGAGACCCACTGTGTCTCAAAAACAAAAGAGCACCAGAGAAAAAGCATCATCGGTGAAGAAAAGCCAGCTGGCATTTGGCCCAGGGGAGAAAGTCTGCAGCCCTTGTGTCTGAGGGGTGTGGCGTGGAGGGTGCCCACTCTGTCTCTGGCAATACTGACCCTCAACTGCCCCCGGACATGCCAGGCAAACTCAGTGACCCTGGAGAAGTGGAACATACGAATTTTTTAGGTTGGTTCAAATTCTTCCTTAAACACTTGAGAGCCAAGCACAGAATGTTCTGGACTGGGAGCCACCAGCATGCATGCTCTGGGCTTGGAGGTTCTAACGCTGCTTCTCTACTGGTGCCTTCTGCTGAGGAAGAAATGAGAATGGAAGGCGAGAGATGAGGGCTGGCAGGAGCCCCTGGGGACGAGCCTGTGCCTCAGTGGGCTCAGCCACCCACAGAGCAGGGCAGAGAGAGGCCAGGGCTTTCCAGGCAATGCAAGGGCCCCAGGCTCAGGGAATTCCCGGCAGGCTGGTGTGACCGGAGGCGCATTCCTGGCTCCCAGGCCCGGGTAGCTCAGCGTTTTCCTAGAGCATGGTGGGACCAGGGTGTCCTTGTGCCTGGACCACGTCCCCAGAGAGGATGCAGCCTGAGTGGGAGGTTGAGACAGCCAGCCCAGACTTGGCTGAGGGGATCCTGCTCAAGGCGCCTGGTGGGCAGCTGTGACCCAGAGTCCTCCTGTTGAGGAGCTCAGGAGGGAGGGGATCCCAGAAGCAGACCTTCCTCAGGTCGCCGAGGATGCCCAGGATTTGGGCATCTGCCAGCGATTGCTCAGGGCTTCCTGGGGTGGCGGAAGGCAGCTGCTACACACAGGGCTGCATGAGCCCACTCTGAAGGGGCCTCTCAGCTTCTACCATCTGACACTGCCATCCGTGCTGTGCCTGTGGACGGCCCCCAGGAAGGACATCTGTGGCTGCCCCCGGCCCAGCATCCACTCTGCTCCTTCCTCGGGAGCTGCCTTCTCCGGGGGACTCTGACCTTGACTTTCTGTCCTTTGGCTCCAGGACTGGCCTGGGGGGCAGGTGGGGCTCATCAAACCATTTCCTCACCTGCCGGATCCCAGGAAACTCAATTCTAGGAATGTTTTCTCGGAACTGTAGGGAAAAGTCACATTGGCTCATGCATATCTGGGGGAGCCCAAGGCCATCTGACTGACTGGAGAGGAGACTGCCAAGAAAGAAGCCATCCCTGAGAGTTAACCTGTGTGTCAGAGAGAAAAGAGCCGTGCGTGGTAGTACACACCTAGAATCCCAGTGCTCTGGGAGGCTGAGGCAAGAGGATCAAGGTGAAAGCCAGTCTGGGCAATTTAGTGACTTAGACTCTGTCTCAAAATAAAAAATAAAGGCTGGGAATGCAGCAGAGTGGGAGGGCTCTGGGCTCAGTCCCCAGCACCGCAGAAGCAATGTGCTTCACCGAAACAAGTCTGATGAAAGAGATTGAACCCCTTATGTTCTGCGTGAACCAAAGCGCAATCTATCCTTGGACTTTTCAGTGAAGGAATTCTAAGTACACTGCAGTAGCATGCAAATCATCCTCAGCAGAAGGCACTTACGGGATCACCTAAGGCAGAGCCTCCCAAAAGAAGTTGAACTTCCTGAATCTGCCCCAGGAGCAACCAGGGAAAGTGCCCCAAACCCACACTAGAAGTCACTGGCACCTAGACAGGCTGATCACAAAATTATCTTATCCTCATCTGTTCTCCCAGATCCATGTATCTTTTTTTTTTTCTTTTTTTTTTTTTTTTTTTTTTTTTTTTAATGAGACAAGGTCTTACTATGTAGTTTAGGCTGGTCTTGAACTCACTTGGTAGCCTAGGCTGGACTCAAACTCACAGCAATCCTCCTGCCTCAGCCTCTGGAGTTGCTGAGATTATAGACATTTGCATAACCACACCCAGTTCTAACCACTTTCTTGAATTGGGTACTTCTGTGAATTTCTGTGGGCACATGACTAAGTCTCTTTTCCCTTGCTAATCTGTCTTTTGTCAGTTTAATTTACAGCCCCCATCACTAACCATAAGAGAGCAGAAGCAAAATTTTTTCTCCCTAGACATAAAAAATATAAGCAAAAAAAAAAAATCCCCTTCCAACATAGGCTGCCATGACTCCAACATTCCACACACCGTCTATGATTTCCACTGTGACTTACCAGTCACTAAATTGTGCTTTAGTTTCTGCCTGGGAGAAAGAAATCAGCAATGATCTGGGCCCCTTAAAAGCATTCCTTTTGGAGGATCTTATCGAACCCAGGGCCTTTGCACTGGAGCCCTATCCCCAGCTTTTTGTGTATTTTAAAAACATTCTTAGAAAGGGTCTGAGCTACATTGTTTATTTGCCCAGGCTGGGCTTGAATTTGTGATCCCGTTGTCTGAGGCCTTGCAGAATGCTGGGATTATAAGGGCGTACCATCACACTCAGCTTAACATTATTTAATATTTATGTTTCTGTTTTATGTTACGTACATGTTAATATATCACTAGCATGTATTAATATTGCGATTTGAAAGATACTGTTATTTTTAACCAGATTAAGGGACCCAGAGAGAGCTTCTGTCTACATCTACGGTCTCTAAATATTTTCAGTTTAGAGACTCTGTGCAACGAAGTGTAGTTTTTTGTTTATTGCTTGCTTGGTTTTGGGTTTTGTAAAGTTTTCTTGGTACTGGGATTGAACCCAGGGCCTCGTGCATGCTCCACACCTGCTCTGCTGCTGGGCGGCCCCCAGCCCCAAAGCACACACTGCATTTTCCTGTACCATTTCCTGAAGCCCGGGTGGCTTGGTGGCAAACCAGGGTGTCTGGGAGGAAAAAGCACTGGGGTTTTTTCTGGGTGTCCTGGAACAGAGAAATGGAAGCCAAGACAGCTGTGACCATGGATGATTCCTGTTTTGGGGGGTTTTTTTTGGTACCAGGGATCAAACTTACTGAAAGGATTTTGTCTTAAAGGGGACGCTGCAGCACTGGGAGGCGGGAGGTCACCTTCCCCACCTCTAAACAATTTACCTGTGGCGTGAAATAAATTCCAATGAGCTACTTGTGCATCAGTAATGCCCCTCAGGCTCCACCCCAAACCTAAGCTATATGTATGCCCCCTTACCACGTGTCTGGCAGAGAGAGAAAGCCAGATCTCAGTGGTCCTGTGTTCTCTCCACATTCTTAAAATAAAGGCCACTTTACTTTATATTCTGTCTTCTAACCGTGCCAAAAACTCTCTTTCACTCACAACATTGCTAGGCTGCGCCCTGAGCTAGGCCTGGATTTTTCATCTGAGTTTTGAGGTGATTGGAGGCCCTGGCACTGTGTGATAAAGATCTTAAAGGCAGTGGGTTGAGAACAATACAACACTCAGAGCTAGTGGGCTGCACATGAGGAACTGAGGAATAGCCAACAGCCTTCTGTGACAGCGACTGTGATGGGGAAGGATGGGGGTTGGGCCCCTGTCTGAACTTGGGGGAAGGGGACCAGTGCTCACCGTCCACCTCCCGTGCCTGCTCTCCCTCAGCTCGGCTAGCTTTCTCCAGGGGCCCCATTTCCCTTCTGTCTCCCTAGTGTGCTCACGCTGTGTTCCGTCTTTCAGGAATGTCCCCTTGGCTACCTCTGTTTTGGTCCCCTCCCCACTTTTTTGAGAAGGGTCTCGCTGTGCAGCTCAGGCTGGTCTGGAGCTCATTTTGTAGCCCAGACTGGTCTCAAACTTGCAATGATCCTCCTGCTTCAGCCTCCTATTTTGCTGGGATTACAGGCATGTGCCACCATACCAGGCCTCTAATATTTAAGGTACCCAGAGCTAGTTTCAAACTTGTGATCCTCCTGTGACAGTTTCCCAGAGGCTTTTTTTGTTTTTGATACTGGGAGTCAAACTCAGGCCTGTACTTGCCAGGCAGATGCCTCCCAGTGTTTTAAGTGAAAGTTTTAAATGTTTTAAGTGAAATTGCTTAATTGACTGTCTCTATCATAAAAATCCTGAGCTTCCGGGGAGCAGATGCAAATTGTCCATTCCTGGATCTCAAGCCCTGGCAGTGACTGGCAGAAGGTAAATTCAGTGCAGGTGTGAGTTGAATGAGGAATAGATGAATGAATTAAAAAATAAACAGAGTTAGGCCAAAGGAAGGAGAGGGAAGACTATTCCAGACCTGGGGAATGGTTCACAGCCGGGTCAGGAAGCTCAGAAGTGGTGTAGTCAGAGAGCTGAGAGAAAATACCTGGAGCTGTGCATTCTGTCCGGGACCCCCTGGCATGCTCAGGACCTGCAGAGGTCCCTTCTCCATGTTGGTTTTGTTTTTTGTTTTGTTTGCAGTACTGGGGTTTGAACTCAGGCCTCACACTGAGCTGCATCCCTAGTCTCTGTCTCTTGGTTTTTTGAGACAGGTCATGCCACGTAGGCCAGGCTGGCCTCAGCGTCCTGAGGGCTGAGATCACCATGTCCAGCAAGCCCTTTCTATTTCATGTTTTGCAACAGTATCTCACTCTGTAACATGCATTACATTTATATCTTGTACATACAACTAGACTCATCTATGTGCCTTCAATTCACTATATAGCTATTATTAGAGTTTTCTGGTGCAACAGAGAAGCAAAAAGTACAAAAAAGAAAAGAACAGGTTTATTGAGGATGTGGAAAGGAACACACAACCCGTGGTGGTTGGGCTGTCTCCTCCTCCAGATACAGAGAGGCAGCAAAGGCTTATGTGACCTCTGATTGGAAGTGGCGCATGGGGCGATATTGATGAGATGTGAGGAACTGATTGGAAATAATCCTAATTCTCTTTGTGCACAAACAGGAAGGGGAGTTGCAGTTAGGGCTGAAGAAGAAGGAGGAAAAGGTAAGCGTTCACGCTTTGGCCTTCCACCATGTTAGACCACCACCATAATTGTGCAGTAATTCATACTAGGGCAAGAACCTTTCAGGAGCCCAAGCTCGGCTCCATTTGAGATCTTCCTGCCTCAGCCTCCTGAGTGCTAGATTTACAGAGGCTCTTGTGCAGAGAGATCTCGCCTGGGGTTGGGCAGGAGAACCTGGGCTGCTACCACGCCAGGGCTGTCAGAACCAAGGTGACCCACCCAGGAGGCCGCCCTGCCAGAGCTCTCGGCCCTCATCCCAGGGTGAGCCCCTCTGGCTCCTCAGGGCTCCGCTCCACCAGAGCGGTTGTTTTGTTTCCAAGCACAGTGAGGACACACCTGCCAAGGCTCTGAGCAGCAGGCAGCCAGGGCTGTGCGAGGAAAAGCAGGCCGTTTGGGTGGGCAATCGAAAGCTTTAGGACAGCATTCCAAGCCAGTGCAGGTAAAACACGAGACAAGCACCAGTGGAGGGACAGAGGGGCGCAGGGGTCTGGGGAATGGGCTAGAAGGGAACAGCTGGGGGTTGGGCCCGCTCAAGGCAGAAGGGGAGTCCAGAGCTGCAGGGAAGAGAAAGGGATCGAGGGGGAGAGGATGTATGGAGGGAAAGCGGCCAGGTGAGGGGCTAATCCCTGGCTAATCCCGGTGCATCTCTGGTTTGAGGCGGCAGGCACATAGTGGGTTTGAGGCCTGCCTGGGCTGCATAGGGAGCCCCTGTCAGAGAGGGAGAGAGGGAGACAGAATGTCCCTGCCCTTTGGGCTTCAGGGGAGGCCCAGGCTGGGATGAGAGGTAAGGATGAGGCCCTGGGGTAAGTGGCCAAGGCAGGCAGGGCAGAGTCACAGGGGTGAGGCAGAGTGGCCCTGTGTGGGTGGGCTCCTCCAGGCAGAGGCTGGGGTGGGGACCAGGGGTAAAGATGAGACCCTGGTGTGCCCTTCTGACCATGCGGCCTCCTCAAAGCCAGGAGGAGGTGAGGGATGTACTAGGCCCACAGCAAATTATGCATCGCAGGGAGAGATGGGCTGGAGAGGCGCCCTCCAAGCGCAATAGACACCAGAGCTCCAGAGCCCACATCTCTTGAGTCTGGAGAAACCAAAGCCACTTCCTGTGGGAAGCTTGGAAGGGGACAGTGGGTGCTGAGACAGCCTGGCATGTGTCGGAGCAGGGAGGGGAGCCAGTGTCCAGATGGTACAGGCAAATGCTGGATGGCAAATACACCAAGTCCCTGTTCCCCAAAGACGAAGAGTGAATTCTAAGAAACAACAGAGGTTAAGAGTAGGCAAGCTAGGGGGCTGGGGATTTAGCTTAGCCTCATAAGCACCTGCATGGCAAGCAGGCAGTCGTGAGTTCGATCCCCAGTACCGATAAAAAGGAAAAAGACCAAAAAAAAAAAAAAAAAAAAAGAGTACGCAAGCTTATTGGAAGAAAAGAATGGAGAATTGGAATAGCTCCCAAAAGATAAGAGGGGTCCCCAATGGGCTACCAGGAAGCCCACCTCTCAAAGGTAGCTTTATGGTTTTTTGTTTTAATTTTTGTCTTTTTGAGTCAGAGTCTTGCTACGCAGCTCAGGCCGGACTTGAGCTCACTTTGTAGCTCAAGCTGGTCTCAAACTCAAAAGGATCCTTTTGCTTCAGCCTCCTGAGTGCTGGGATTACAGGCATGTGCCACCACACCAGCTTCAAGGGCAATTTTATAGAGCAAAATCTGAGTGGGTGCAATGTGGGTCAAAATTATGATCAACCAACACGACTGCAAGTATAATTGCTTAGGTGATAGTGATCCAGTGGGAGCAAGGTTACATAAGTGGCATCATTAATCTTGATCAATAATCTATAGTTTTGGCCTTGTCTTTTAATTTTAGCAGTCTCAGTCTTGTTCCTAGTCTTCCTAGGTGTGTGAGGATGGCCCACCACAACAAGATAGCAGGAAATCTCGGAAGTAATTGCAGGCTTCCTTTCATCCCTGAGGGAAGCATCTTCAGATGGGCCTCCAGCCACCATCCTGATGGACTCTTGGCTCCCTCAAAGTCCCAGCCCCGTCTGACTGCCTACTACATTTCTATCTCATTTAGCTATCTATAATGCAGGCCCCAGGAAGGGCAGGACCCAGCAGCTCTCTGACCTGGAGCCCCGCACATCTCTTGATCAGATCCAAGGCTTCCCCTCCTCCTGCCACCCTTCCAGCGTGCCCTGGGAGGCTCTGGGTCTAGGTCAGAGGACTGCTGGGTCCTCCCGTTCCTAGTGCTTGGACAATCCCTCCCTCTCCCTGCCCCCACACATGTAGTGTGTCCCCTTATGAGCTCCCCAAGGAAAGTCACTTTTCAATCGTTGTACACCTAGGATTTAGGGGGCTGGGAGGTTTGTTTAGGTCTGGGAGATGGCAAACACCTATAATCACAGCATTTGGGAGGCTGAGGCAGGGGGATGCTTTGCAAGTTTGAGACCACCCTGGGCTACAAAGTGAGCTCGAGCCCGGCCTGAGTTGATAGTAAGACTCTGACTCAAAATGCTGGGGATTTAGCTCAGCGGCATAAGCACCTTCCTTGCAAGCAGGCAGTCGTGAGTTCGATCCCCGGTACCGATAAAAGTGAAAAAGACGGGAAAAAAAATGACAAAACAAATAAACAACAACAACAACAAAAAAAACAATTCCTTTCATTGTTTCCCAAGACTAGAAAGAGGTCTTCTGAATTCCCCTGCTGCTGCCCTCTCCATTCACCCAGGAGAAGAGAGAGTGGTGGTGAAGTGGGGGGTACCATGGACCACCCCAGAGCTGCCTGCCAGCTGCTCCTCCTGGCTCCTTATCGGCCAGAAAGAAGCTCAAGTTTCCCCAGCACAGACAATCAGATGCTGCTTCAGAGCCCTAGGAAGCTGGGAGTTTCTTCTGAAAAAGGTACCTGGCTGGCTGAGTGTGATCTGCCCTGGACCAGCATGGGGGGTAGTGGGGGGGCTGCTCCTACAGCAGAACTGGGTGCAGTGCCAGGTGGAAAGCGGGAGAGGTCAAGCTGCAGATGCCTCCCCTTTTCCCTGGGGAGAAGTTGAAGCTGAACAGAAGAGGCCCCTTGAGGTGGCCCCATCAGCCACCAAGAGGAACTCAGAACCCAGACCTGGCTGTCAGCTGCAGGCAGGTTGCCCCATCCCCAGGCTTAGCTTTTCCCACTAAAACATGAAGGGCTGGCCTTGAGCTCTCCAAGGTCCCTCCTGCTCTGCTCGGCGTGGTCCCTGCAGAGCCTGCCTGTTCTGTATTTGAAACTCATCCCTCCCCCATGCGGTTTATCCACCTGGCCTCCTCTTCCTCCTCTTCTTCCTCCTCCTCCTCCCAGAGCTGCATCGCTGACAGCTCTGGTTTACAGCAGAGCAAATGTCCTGGGCTGCCACTGTTGTCTTGCCATTGTTGCAAAAGCGGCCTTGGATAAGATGCAAATGAATGAGCCTGAAGCCACGCACCATGGCCCACACAGGTAATCCCAGCTCGGGGAGGCCGAGGCAGGAAGATTGCCGGGAGTTAAAGGCCAGCCTGGGCTGCCTAGCAAGACCCAGTCTCAAACAACCAAAGGGAGGGGGTGCACCGAATGTGAACGTGTCCCCAGGAAACCAGTTTATGGCGATGAAGTTTGTGTCATCGTTTTCTTGATGTGCTTGGGATTGAATCCAAGACCTCAGTGCATTGTATTCCTACTCCCCCCACCCCCACACTGTTTAGTTTTTTTTAAAGACAGTCTTTCTAAGTGAGTAAATTGCCCAGGCTATGCTCTGGGTTTGTGTTCCTCCTGCCTCAGCCTCCCAGAGAGCTAGAATTACAGGCATGTGTCACCACTCCCAGCATTCTTGCCACTTTCGGAAAGCAGTTCTAGAAGTCTTCTTTGTGACTGTCTTTAGGAAGTGTGTTGTAGTCGGGGTTTACTAGGGAAAATACTTAGTACAGTACTCAAAGCATCAAATGCAAAAAGTGCAGGAGAGCTGTCCACACACTGGAGACACTAAGAATCCGGCTGAGGCCCTGGATCCCACAGCAGTGTCCTCCACACGTCCAGCTGGAGGTCTGGAGCCCACCGCTGTCTCTCATGCAAATCTGTATCAGCAATCTGCCCCGGGAAGGCCCAAAGGTTGGTGGTGGAAGCTAGAAAGTCTTTGCCAGTGGAATGAAAGATCTGTGCCAGCAGCTGAGGGATCTGCTCTAGAGCCAGAAAGCGATGCTCAAGGTAAGGACCAGAGCTTCCCCAAAGAGAACTGCTGCCATCCTCAGTGCCTGCAGGGACCTGAGCTCCTCTGAGGATGAGAAAGCTGAGTTAATATCAGAAAGCCAGTGTGATAAGCTTCTCCAGCAGAATCAGCAGCACACCCTCTTCCCTTCCTGTTCCCCTTTTATGCTGTTGGCCACAATCCTCAGGTGGGCCTTCCTCCCCCAGCACCACGCTGACTCAGTTCAGCTCAGTGTTCCAGACTGACCATTAGTTAATCTACTGCACTGATAAAAAATACAGTGAATGGCTGGGCGTGGGGTGGTGCATGAGTGTAATCCCAGCGCTTGGGAGCTGACTCAAACACACAACAAAACACAAAAACACAGTGAACATTACTGCCTACTGCATCCACCAGGCAAGTAGGCCTATGAAGTATGACGCTGTGTTCTCACCCACCTATTTGCTGGATCCGGCAGCTCGGAGACTTGGCTCTTCCTCAAAGTTTAGGTCACCGCGAAAGGTAAACATTTTAAAATAATTCAGGACATTGAGGCAGTCATGATAGCATAAAGGCAAAAAAAAAAAAGATTTCCAGAATTGCTTCCCAACGTGACAATCACATGGCCCATGTGTGTTGGAAACAAGGGGAAGTTTTGTGGGTTTTTTGGTATCAGGAATGGAACTCAGGGCCTGTGCTTGCCAGGCAGGCGTCTATGCCACTGAACTATATTCCTGGCCCCTGTTGTTTGAATGAACTCTGAAATGCTTAGTCCATACAACTTTGTGACCTTAAAAAGAATAGTATTCTGTAACCTCATGGGTGATTTTTTTGTTTTGTTTTCTTTGAGACAAGGTCTTGCTACGTAGTTCAGGCTGGCCTTGCAACCACCCTGTAGCCCAGGCTGCCTTTGAATTCACTGTGATCCTCCTGCCTCAGTCTCCTGCGTGCCAGGATTACAGGCATGCACTATGCTTGGCTCTTTTTTTGAGTGGGAGGGTAGTGCTGGGGATTGAACCCAGGGCCTTTGCACTGAGCTGTTATCTTCAACCCTTTTTTAATATCTTGAGACAAGAGTCAAGCTGAGTCAGTACATTGCTCAGGCTGGGCTGGTGGATTAACACCTTCTGTGCTCAGCTACCATTTGTTTTTGCTTTACGAAAGGGAAGTCTAAAGAGATCTGGGAAGGAGTCAGATGTAAGCCTGACCCTCAGCTAAATCCGGCCCCTTCCGCAGAGAACTTCAGAGTAACCAGTTGAACAGGTCCTGATCCCAGCAGCCCTGCGGGACTGCCTTCCTCCCTTTACCCGTCTGGCTGACCGGACGGTGTTTTTCTGCAGCCTTGGGACCGCTTGGGGAGTCCATTCCTTACACAGGAAGGGGAAAGCCGGAGCGCCCTTTGTTTGGGAGCTGCTGCTGTTTGTGTTTTTGTTATACTACTAAAAATGGAGCCCAGGGTCTCTGAGTAAGCTATATGCTTAACACTTTTATTTTTTATATTGAGAAAGGGTCTTGCTAAATTGCCGAATAGTCCAGGTTCGGGTTAACTTGCTATACTCTAGGCTCAGCTTTCCAGAGTACTGAGATTACAGGTGTGTGCTACCATTTCCAACCCTGTCCTAATCTTTCTTTCTTTCTCTTTTTGAGACAGGATCTCACTATGCAGTTTTTTTTTTTTTTTTTTTTTTTTTGGTCTTTTTGAGACATGGTCTTTCTATGCAGCTGGCCTTGAGCTCACATTGTAGCCCAGGCTAGTCTCCAATTTACCATGATTCTCCTGCCTCAGCCTCCCAGGCTTTTAGAAGTATAAATCAAGGCCAATTGTGGTGATGCACGCCTGTAATTCCAGCACTTTCACCCTATCCGTGGATTTCTTCTGGCCCTGCAATCTTTCTCTGTCCCTTGGTGGAGGGTAGAATTATGGGTAGGGCCTCACGGACTGCTAGTTTAGGTGGAAGGATTAAGTCGGGGGAAAGTTTGCAATTCCTATGTTAATTGCGCTATTTGGGAATTTCCTGGTCCTGAGTTCTCTGACTTTGCCTCCCTGATTTCTTTAGTTCAGTTCCCTTTGTCTTTCTAATTTCTCAGGGTCCAGCTGCCTTTGTCTTTCTAATTGCTGGAGTCTGGCTGCAGGGGTTAAAAGTGCCTTATTCATTTTTAATAAAGCTCAACGAGGCCTCCACTCAATGCTTCCCTTCCCTACGGTACCCTGCCTCATCCCTACGCTGAGCTGTGTCCCCAGCCCTCTTTTTGTTTTATTTTGACAGTCTTGCTAAGCCTTAAATTTGCAATCCTCCTGTCTCAGCTAGTGGAGTAGCTGAGACTCTTAGAAATGTTCTTAATTGCTTTGGAATAAAAGCTTAAACCTTAGATTAAAATGTAAAACCTGCAGGCTACTCTTTCTTTTTTCCCCCCACTGTACACAGGCTGGCCTTGAACTCACAGGGATCCTCCCGCCTCAGCCTCCCAAGTGCTGGGATTACAGATGTGCACCACTACACTGGGCTGCTTGCCCATTTTTTACCCTGCACCCCCTGACGCCCTCACACTTTTTGCTTAGCCTTAGTGGCTTTTTTCTGTTCCTGTAACTCCCCTGAGTGTGTTTCTACCCTCACCTGACCTCTTGCTCTTCCGGAGCCCGGCCATGGTGACACCCACCTGTTACCCCACTTCCGGTTTGGTGGTTTCTAGCAGTCATTCCTGTCCCATAGGTTCTGTCTACGCGGTCTCCTCCATTGCAGCAGGGCTCTCTCCCCAGCCCCAGGGCTGGCTGGGTCTGGTGCAGTGAGTGCTTCCTGGCTTCAGATGAGTTATGGACTCTGGGGAAATTGGACCAGAATCAGCAGCAGCCCTGGGCCTCTCAGGGTGCTGCCCCTGGCTCCAGGGCTGGGCTGAGGGCCTCACTGAGCCTCTGGGTAGCTGGTGTCCCAGCAGGGAGGTTGGAGGAGGCACCTGTGTTTCACTGGGTGACGGTACCAGGACAGCTTTCCAGGTTCTCAGAGACCGATGTTGTACCCCTGTGCAGGGACAGGTGGCAGCAGCCAAGGTTAATTACATTGGGGTGTGGAAGGCTGCTCAGAGCCAGCAGTTTTGGCCCAGAGGGAAGGAGACATGGATCTGAAATGGGCCCAGGGCCTATGGTGTCTCTCCTCTGAAAAAGCCCAGGGACAGCGTGATGGAAGGTGCCAAAGCTGCCTGCCCTGGGGAGTGACCTGCGGCTGGGGGTGCCCTGTGTATCTGTCCAGGCTCTGCTGAAGGACAGCCTGGGCTTACTGGGAGCTGGAGCTGAGGACAGCGACAGGCTCTGAAATCTATAAGCAGTTTCCAGCACCACGTGCTGCAGTACCTGCTTGTGATCTTAGCTCCTCGGCAGCTGAGGCAGGAGGAGTGTGAGTTTAAGGCCAGCTTGGGTAACTTAGAGAGACTCCACGGAAGAAAAGGAGAATGGGGAGGAGGGCAGAGAATGAAGACAGAAAGAAAGGAAGGAAGAAAAGAAGGAAAAGGAATCCCTGCTTCCCTCTATCAGCTCACCAAGCCTCAGGCTTTACTGTCTTCAAGCCCAGCCTCTCCATCCTCCTGGAGGGCTTCTCCAGGCCCCTTTCGACCCCTGTCCTAGTGCTCTGCCAGCATGGTAGACCACTCCCTGGGACTGGCATCCCTGGATGGCAGGGACAGGGACCGGCCACCGTCCTGTCAGAAGTACACAGTAGAGGCTCAGGGGGTATTAGCTGCCTGGATAGGAAGCAAAGGGGTCCCTGGCCATTCTACCCTGAAGGGACCCTGTCTCACCTGGGAAGGCACAGTTCCCAGGTGCTGGGATTATAGCTGTGTAGCTTCCTCTCTGGTTTTTTGAGGCAGCTTCTGGTTCTGTAGCCCAGGCCAGCCTTGAACTACACACATAGCCCAGCCTCCACCTGCCTGCCGCAGTGGTGGGGTCTCAGGCGGTCTACCACACCCACTCATTTCCCTTTCATTTTACATTTTTCCTTCAATGGGCCCTGGATGGTGCGCACTGCAGGAGGAACAAAGGCGCCCACTGAGCCTGGCCTCTCTTCCTCCAGGTGCCCTCCCTCTGGGGAGGCCTGCAGCCTGCACCTCCAGGCTGGGCACTCGGGCTTAGTACTATGGGAAGGGAATACCTAGCACTGCCATTGTCTACAGGACAAGGAGGGCCCTCACCAGGATGACTAGGCTCATGTTGAAGCGCCTGGCTGCAGGGCAGTTCTGGAGGACACAGTGAAGGACAGCCCTGCCGTCCCAGGGATTCCTGAGCTGCAGGGCAGCTTCCCCCTCCTCAAGGACTCACCCAGGACCCCTGTGATCCCCACGGGGGTAAGAAGAGGACAGATCTCAGGCTGTCTCTGCCCCAGCGTGGGGGACCCTCAGGAAACCCGGCAAGATGCCGGTGAGGTCCTTCCCTAGAGATGGGCATCAATGTGTGCTGCTGGTCTGGTTTGCCTTTTTTCTTTTTACCAACAAGGAGGGATTGACAGCTTCCTTTTTCAGCCCCCACTGAGTCACAAGAACCGGAGGAGCAAGACATCTCTGGCCACATTCCGTTTCCTAGGTGTCTGGGGAAGGCAGATACCGCCCGGCCTGCTCCTCTGCACCCCATCCACCCTGGCACTTCACCAAGCAGCGCGTTCACACCCGTGACAAAACCTGCTTGCCGGCCCTGCTTCGAGGCAGGGCGGCCATACCCCTCCTAACACAGGTGGCCCAGAGGCATGGCATTTTGAGAGTTTTGCAGTATACAACCTGTGTAACCTTTCCATGGCCC